ACCGTTTCTCTGTGCTCTTCCTCTGCTGTGCATTTTCTTTGTTAGTGATGGCCTCTCTGGCCTCTTCCTGATCTTTCCGTACCTTTTCTTGTTGCACTATCATGAAAAGTGATCTGCAGGGAATAGAGTAAGTATTCTTACAGCAGAATTCCCTTTTCTCACCTCTGTGCGTAGATCAGCAGGTCCTTACCTCTTCCATCTGCTAGATGGCTGGTATGTACCTGCTAAACTATAAAAGTAATCCTAAATTAAGCTGAGATATACTTAATATATCTCTTGAAATAAATGCTCACCTTGGAGGTGAAATTTGGCACCTGTTTAACTACAGATACCAGTTTATAATGGTAACAGACGTACCATATTAAGTAGATACTGAAGGGTTGGTTATTCTTTTGGCAGAAATGCACAAGTGGGAATTTAGCCAGGACACTGAGGTTAGCACAATTGCGTTTCCAAAGCTCATATGATCTTAATTTGAAATGGTGAAGTTCCCTGTACTTGTGTGGGTGAGCACTTGCTTGGTATGGAGATGACAAACCTTGCTTGGTGACTAGCTAGTGTGACTTCTCTCAATGTCGAAGGCCTTTCTGCCTTTTCTGTCCAAAGACTGGCCTGGCATGATCTCAGCTACCTTGTCTAAGCTGATGTGTTGATGCACAGGGTAGTAAAGCTGCAAAAAGGAAATACTGTTTTAGGTGTACTTTCAGATAGTGAAATACTCTCTTAGACTTCTGAAGCTGTAATAAAAAGGAGGTAGTAACTGGTGGAAATCAAAAATCTTAAAATCCTTCAGATTTACACAGGTCTGATTGGATTTATTTTTTATTTCATTTAGTTAATTGTTAAACATTATTATACTCGTTATGTTATTATAACCTCCAAAGCAGACTGTATATACATATAATGTTAGGATTGCTTGCGGTCCATTCCAGTAATATTTTAATCAGAGGTTCTTGAAACAGCAATTATCTTTAAGAGGAAATAATGGCAGAAACTGTGATTGAATTAACATGTGAAAACTGTAATGGAAACTGTAATGGAGTATGTTAACCCTGTAGGATGCTTGCAGAATGTTCTTTTGCTATTTTATTACATTTAAACAGATAAATACATTATACTTGCCATGGATAGAGAAGGAACTGATGACCGTATAACACTTCTGATAGTCTAGTTATGGTGAGAGAAAGGTGTTTCTGGTAGTTAGATTACGTAGAGGTATAATGCTTCAGGAAAGTGGTCCTGTATACTCCCTCTAACAAAGGTTACTAGTCTGAATCCACAGAAATATCTGAAGGTGCTTGTCATGTAATTTTCTTCAAAACTTAGCCTGGAGCACTTTTTTGGGGGTTTCATGTCATATTCCAAATGACAGGCATTTATATTACAACTTCTCTCAGTGCAGGCCTCACAGATTTCCTCAGGAGCCGTGAGTGGGAGAGTGAGGTAGACGTGCTTTATTCCACTCATACGTACAAAGCCTTTTTATCTGAAGAAGAAGCCAGAGGGACACCTCATTAATTTCTGCAAGGACGACCAGCTTGCTTCTGTCCCGGGCAA